CGACGAACTGGTCTGACGTAATCTTCCCAAGACCGATTGCGGCAACGAGGTCCATAAAGATGTCAACAGTGGTTTTTCCATTCTCTTCTCCCTCTTCTTCTGTTGCAGTGCTTCGAGCTTCGAACCACTTTGCAACTGCTAGCAACTTCGAGTCCTCCATCACATCACCTAATCGACTATCTGTCAGCACCGTAGCCAGAATTGCCAGATCAGTCGAAGCATAGAAATTCGGCTGTATGGAGTCAATGCTGTCGAAGTGGGCAGCAATCACAGGAACACAAAGTTTAATCATGTCTTTGTTCTTGGTTGCATTACCAATAGACCAGATGCAACCAAAGTTGTCTCTGGATATCCTAGAGTGCAATGTTACAGCAGTCATTTCCGTTATGTAAAGGAAGGACAAATAAGACAAAAGATCACTTTTCTGTACACTGCACAACAATCCAGCGAATGTGAGTGCAGTTGCTTATGCCAGTTTGCTTTTGCCGTGCTCAACTAGTGCATCAAAATCGCTTCTTTTCCACCCACATCTAAACCGTCGATCAAATGCACGGCCTTCAGCTTCTCATGTCTAGCATCTGACCTCGTCTGTCTCCTCTTTTACCATCAGTAAATTCAATGAACTCCATCACAAGTCACTGGTGAATCTCCTTTCTACAATTTCACTCTATCATCCTCCACCAATGTGCGTCCGCGGTTTCCAAGTTGTCGCACTCACACCACACCACACCACAGGACGATGTTGGGTCTGGTTCCTGTTGTTTCCTCAGGACTCGGGACGTCTGCCAATCCCACTGACACCTCTAATGCGCCTATCACTTGTCGCCCGATGGCACTTCGGGGGGCACATCAGGGCATCTCCACTTACACCACTTTGCCCCCTTCCTTTGCTCCCCAATTCGTGGCAGGATTAAATGCACAAAAGTGGAATTGCGTTCACATTATTGTCATCAAAACCAAACCAACCTGGGTTCGAGATATTCAATGCACCATGTTGCAAGAGTCACGCAACCGAGATTGGTCGCCACCAGGTAAAGACGCAGAGCATTGTCCAAAGAAATATCGATGCTCCCTGTGTACGCGTATTTCACAACTGCCTCTACAATGCTTAAAACGCACCGACTGTTCCTCATGAAATGCTGCACCTTACTCTCTGCCGTATCTCTGCCACTTCAACGTGCCTCCTGTGCTGTTCATTACAGTTTCCTCAATGTGTGGGAATCGAGTGGCCAACACAAGTCGATGTGCGACCACCTCGTGGCCTTCCTTCGTCTAATGCTCACAATAACATCCGACCAGATGTGAACTTACCAGTATTCTCACATCACACAATTTGCCAAGTCGACGCAGTCTCTCAAATGGCGTGCATGGCATAAAACCACTCGGCTGTTCCGTGTAGGTCAATTTGTCGGTTGCTTCCATATCACTGGCAATTGCAAGTCTACAAGGGAAAGAATCAGTGTCTGGGTTAGAATACTAATGATCTGGAAAAGTCACTGTAAGCCAGGTTGCCGCAGTGCCCACTACAATCAAGCAAC